TGAGTCTACAGGGTAGTCGGGGACCTGAACGATATTGGTCGCCCAACAAAACATTTCAAAGGAGTTGCAGCTTGCTGCTGACAACATTGATCCGTGAAACTTATGAGCAATAAAATGATAGACTCTGTGTTACTCAAGGAACTACTAATGCTAAGAGCCTAATATGCCAGTGAGTGGAGTGGTCTCTAAGTTTGATGATGATAATGTTCTTGACTTTTGATTGCTACTCGCCGATATTTCCCTTTGCCATCGATCTCAATTAGGAGAAGGGCCTCGCTTGTGTTGAGATACTGACGGATTTATGAATGCAGAAGAGACTTATAGCTTCTTGTTATGAACAAACTTAACCCCTGAGAGGTGAGTTGATCTAAAAACTGAATAAACATCATATATTCCCAACTCCATCATGATAGCAACACGATCCTGATGCTGATTTTTCTTTTTGATTCCTTTTACCTTTCCTTTTTTACCCCCTCACCCAACAGTAAACGCCTGCCATTGTTCGATCCTATATGTACCCCAGCCAGTCAGGGGAGATATGAGAACAAATGAAAATAAAAAGCAAAACAAAAAACTGTCATCTCAGGCGCGAGCCCTTCAAAAGATAAAATTTAGATCATGGGTGATAGACTGAGTCACCTCTCTGGAGTAAAGGACGCTGGTCCCAGCTGTCCTCGTCGAGACTCGCGTCATCATCGTACTCATCTTCCTCAGTGACATTGCCATTGATTCGTCGACGAGTAGGCGTAGAAGTGCTCTCTGGCTTGCTGTACATGAAGTACTGAGCAAACACACCCAAGTCGAGGAAGAGGGTAACGAGACTACCAGCGAGCCAGCTCATGTTGACGAGGATGTATTTGCCGTAGATATGACGAGCCTCGCCGGGTCGGCATTCATCGTGCTTGCACTTAGGTTCGTAGGCGAAGATAGACAAGACATAAGTGATGTTTCCAAGGCATGCAAAAAGGAAGAAGAGCATGCTTAGCCCCTCGGTCGTCTTGCGCCTCCAGTTCAGGATGAGCTGGGGGAGACGAGAAGCGATGTATGCGACGGTGCAGAGATATCCAAAGATCTGGCCTGATAGACTGAAGTGAAGGCTGTCCTCGCCTCCAGCATTTTTGTCGCCATGCTTGTCGCCAGTAGAAGCCTTCTGACCCAAGAACCAGCCAACGACACCAGCTGCGATGACCATCAAGACGATGATGGTGTTCCAAACTACAGTCTGAAGGATTGTAGGGGTCTGAGGAGTGGCATCTTCGGCAATGTGAGGAACAGCCGGTGACAGGCCAGACCAGTCTGAGCCGCGGCGCTCCTCATGACGATCATGAGCGATCAGACCAGTGCGCTCGTTGGGTTCACCAGGGGCCGGGATGTTGGACTTCGCAGCAGGGGTCGGGGCATCGCGCCATGTAAAACCACGATAGTAGAAGCACTGGCCCAGGAGGACGATATCAGCGATCGTGTAGTAGATAGCGAGGATGATCTATAAAAGTAATTGTTTTAGTTTCCGGTCTTTAAACGGGTTGATTAAGGCCGAGCGTGAAGCGTACCATGGTCGGTAGAACGCCCTGAAGGACGGCGCCCAGAATGTTGAACACATCGCCGAGAAGCCAGACAATGATGAATTGGATCGAGAGGGCATCGGCACTGCTGCGCTGGAAGTTTTGAATGATTTGAGGAGAGAACACGACAACTATTTGCGATTAGTGTTGTTCCCAGGCCGAGGCAGAGACTCAGTCATAGCAACATACCCCAACAGGCAATAGAAATAGAACTTTGGAGAAATTAGTATGCGATGTCTTTGAAGAATGACAGAATCAGAGACATACCCGCAAATGCCCGAGATCGCCTCAACGTCAAGGTTCAGATTCGCAGTTGGCGGAGTCATGATGGACTCAGATGGAGGTTGAACTGAACCCTGGGCGAAAGGTGGCAGAGTACAGCGGCGCCGACCCCAGCTCGTAGCGATACCGTCTGAGTGACCAAAATAAATCGAATCGTGATATTATCGCATTCGCTAAAATGAAGAAAACCCGGTCTGTCAGGGAATAGTCGCTGATGGTGATAATCTGGGCGTCGCGAGGCAAAAAATCAAAGGGAGAGACAAAAGGGTCGTGGCATGAAGAATGAAGAATGAGATTGACAGACTTTTTTTGCCTGATCAAAGATTGCGAAGCCAGGCATGGTCCTGTGCCCCCCCCCCCCAGAACAAGACAAGACGTCACTGTATCAGAGGCAAGATTAGGAATGGATTGCGGGGGAGATGCGCTAGAATGCCCTGAGCTGAGCTTGCTTGGCTTGGCTTATGCTAGGATACTTCCGGGGTCCGACCTCGGCACAGCGACAAACTTGAGCTGTAGATCAAGTTCGGATTCGTGAACGGCCAATGCCAGTTGAACTATGAAAACGCCATGGAAATATAACCAATTGAAGTGGTTTGATGTAGCCAGGGGCTGTTCTGAATGCGAGATCGTGGGTCGCAGATGTTGGTTCGTCTATCTGATAAAGTATGTATGTACAAATGGAAACACCAAAAAAATATGATATCCATGGACCCAATGAATCTCAACGAGATCTTCTCCTCTCTCTCTACAGGGCCAATCATGACGAGCCCTGACTCATCAGAACTCCATCCCGCTGGGCACATGGCCGCATTCGCCGCAATATTGTGCAAATCGCCCGCGACTTTCTCACCGCTAGCCCCAGAATGAACAGGAAGCAGAACGGAGACCTCGGACTTGAAGCCGATTAGTACTGCTCACTCACTCATTGCCTCACGTTGATCATAGAAACCCTCCTCTTTGTGCCTGATAGAACCAAATCTCAACGTCAACACTAGATATCACTTGTCTCATATTCTTATCATAAATCCAACAAAAGAAATCTAACTAGACCCTGGATCTAGCATCAAGCAAGTGTCGACTATTTCTGACCCCCACTATCTCCAACCTCAAATCAAGAGCATTACAAATACAAATCCCAGCACCTTTAAAACAACAACTCTCAATGTCAACAGCCACTTCAGGTCCAGGGCTGCCCGAGATTGCAGCTCTTCAAACCGACGACTCAATGTTGACTCGCCGTTTTGGAAAAGAAGTGGTCAACTACTACGCCGGTGGCCGTATCAACAGATACTCTTTTCTACGTGCCGATATTGGCTTTCTTCGAAAAGCCTTCAACAGCCCTACAGCTAGATATCTGGCACTCCATGACCTGAACCCTCTGGTTGTTGACAAGAAGACTCCGGCCTATCTGACTTTCAAGGATGTCGAGCCTCTGATCGGATCGGACCATTTCCCTCTCACTGAGGATGAAGCTATCCAGAGCTTCAACTCTGCTGAGACCAGACCCCTGGTTGTTTTCGTTGGCATGCTAGAGGAGGGTAATGAGAAGGATTCAATCTCTTCTTCCGACCATGGGGATATTCAGGGCCACCCCTATTTCGCCATCGACATCACTCCCAAGGGAAACCACGCTGAGAAAGCTACTCAGTTTTTGGAGGAACAGGAGAAGAAAGGACTGTCTTTGGATAAGAACCCTAGAGCAATGAGCCAGTCACCCGAGGCTGGTAAGTTTTCCCTGAGACCGGATCGGTCTTGAGCTAACATTTCCAGCCGCTCTCTACGCCCAAGCCAGATCTATCATTGACTGGAATACACGAAGCCCCTTCTGCGCAGGCTGCGGGCTGCCTAACCTCTCAGTTCACGCTGGTTATAAGCGCGTCTGCCCTCCCGCCGATAAGAAAGGCGGAGCTTCCAGTGAACCTCGAGGTGACTGTCCTACCCGTCACGGCGTCTCAAACATCTGTTTCCCTAGAACGGATCCCACGATGATTGCTGCTGTTGTTTCCGCAGACGGAACCAAGGTTCTTCTCGGCCGCCAGAAGCGTTGGCCTCCTCACTGGTACAGCACACTTGCTGGTTTCCTTGAGCCTGGTGAGTCTATCGAGGAGTCGGTTCGGCGAGAGGTTTGGGAGGAGAGTGGCGTTCGTGTTGGGCGTGTTGTTATTCACTCGAGTCAGCCGTGGCCTTATCCTTCTAGCTTGATGATTGGAGCTATCGCTCAGGCTCTGCCTGGCGATGGCGAGAAGATCTCGCTGAACGACAAAGAGTTGGAGGTGGCTAAGTGGTTTTCCATGGACGAAGCCCGCCAGGCTCTTCAGAACGGAACGAGTAGCCTTGGGGAGCCTGCTCCCGAGGGGTACAAGGAGGGTGACCTGCGATTGCCTCCTCCTCAGGCTATTGCTAATCGGTTGATTACCGCTGTTGTTGAAGGATATTTGACTGTGGGCCCTAAGATGTGATGAAGTGTCGATAGACTATCTACCAAATGTTTGGAAGACGAAGCATAGAATAGAAGCGTTGATTATGGTGACAACTAGTGCTCGATCTGAATTGTAGCTTACCATTTAGTGATATGTATTCGATGTGTTCATATGCTCGTCCAAGAAAAATGATTGCCAGTGTCGGCTGTTCAGGCCGTTTCCGTGGTATGGTCAAGAGTTCTGCCACTGACCTGGAACAATTGGTAGTGTTCTAGCTCTGGCTCTGGCTCTGGCTCTGACACAGCGGCCAACTCCGTCCTCTATTCCATTGCTAGCTTCACCTGTCTTCTACTTTCACACTCTCTCACCCAATACTTTCTTCCCCTCTTGCATATCACTTCACCACAGAAGAAGAACAAGAGGAAATACAGCGTATCCTTGCTCAGAACTTGCTTTCTATCTTATGAAGAGAAGTCTTTGGCATCTTGAGATAGCTGGCCATTTCATCATTCTTCCTACGCGCCCGAACCCACCCATCCAACGTCTCTTGACGTGGCATTGCTTTGCCTTTTCATTACATCCCTCCATCCTCAACATCCTCAACATCCTCCATCTTGCCTGACTATCTCTTCTTACCTCACAGTATTCTTGGTCACCTTAGATCGTCGTCGGAGATATCTTCTTCCCATTTCCCTGCACATCTTCCTTCATCTGCTCCGCACTCCACGATTCAGACATGCCTGACGCGGCTCATCAGCCTCTCAGCGCGCGGACAGCGCAGCGAATCCACGAGCAAGTGACTCGTGAGGTTTTCCGACTCGCTGGCCGCGATCCCGAGAATCATGTGGAATGCTTCAAGGCTTGCCTTAAGACTATTGAGGACACCAAAGTCGTCGAGGCAACTGACTATACTATTTGGCAGAGCCAGGTAAGTCAACCAACCTATCTAGTTTCTGCAAGGAACAGCAGACTGACAAATCTTAGGAGCCAATCTCCAGCCTCCTGGAAGAGTTCTTGAATATCAATCGAACTACTAGGAGCGGTAATTTTTACATGCTCCCAGCAACGGCCGCCGTGGCTATTGCTGCCGTTCTGAACCTGAAGCACGTCGTCATTAACCCCAACGACAACACCAAACTCATCGCCAGCGCTGTCTCGGAGAGTGCTGTGTGGGCTTACCTTGGTATTGCCGTCGATGTATGGCCTCAGACTGGTGAAGCTCACTTCTTCGTTAAGAAGTCTGACCAAGATTTAAAATCTCCAATAGTTGGAAAGGTCGCCCGAGGAAAGTTTGCAGTCACAACCAACATTTCCGGAGACGCTATCACCCCTCTCATGCTTCTAACTACGGCGAGATTCAATGGTTGGGTAAAGTCAGCATCTGGTGCCCCTTGTCTGAAAAGGGGGACTGTCGACGCGCCGCAGATCATCCACCGCCGTCAAGCATTGAGCGAAGGCAAGGAGATCCTCGAGAAACTTGGAAACCGAAAGTTCAAGCAAAACGATCCGGCTCTCATCCGAGAGGTAAAGGCATGGCTCTCAGAGCCCATCATCCGTGTGCTTCCAGAGGAGGCGAAGAACCGACTATGGTACTAGTGCAACCAAGTCGCGAAATCATGGCTGCCAATCATCAAGGACGCAGACACGGACTTATCAGTTTACAAGTTCATGGGCAAGACCGGTGCCACTCTTGCATCCCTGGTGACTGATGAAATCGATTATATTCAACTGGCTCAACAGGTCAATGATTCAGAATCAACTGCCGCTGTAAAGAAGCTGGTTGAACTGTCAGACAAGGCCCGTGAGATACAAAACTCTCAGCAGAACTATATGCAGGAAGCAACCCCCAGTCTGATGGAACTTCGAACGACTCTCCTAGAGAAGCCCGGTTGCCAGTCGTTCCAGCAAGTTTTTGGACCTCCTTGGAGCCAATGTCTCCTCAACCAAGAAGCTGACGGCACCAAGAACATAATTGTTGGCGCTCTTCAGCGCCTCTTCGATACTATTGCCTACGTCGTGCCTCGAACACACTCTATGTACGGTGCTTTTCTAGATATGGCCTCCAAAATGGACATTGCTGTCATGTCTTCCCTCGACCTTGATCTGGCTAGAGCTAAAGATCGTCACCAGAAGCGGCTCGACATCAACGATGACCTTTCATACCGCAACGAGATCATGACCAACGTGGCCGAAGCCATCGGCAGACTCGAGCGTGGGTCAGCATCGCAGGAACGACTTCTTCGTTCAAAGCTCTGCTCAATCCTCGACGCAGCTGATGCGCTGATCCTAAAGGAGAACCTTGCGCGGGATATTAGCATCGTGACCTCGACTAACACTCATGACGAAAGAGTTTGATATTTCTGTATGAAATTCTTGGAGCTGAGTTTTACTTTGGAATTTGTAAGTTCGAGCTTACTGAACTTGATTGTTAATTCTACAGAGCTAACTTGGGCAAACGTTAGGGGAGAATCTACGAAACGCCGACATGGATACAGAGGGTATGGGGTCTTGCTCAAGAGAATAGCCCAGTGTAAAGGCGAGACGTCAATGTGTCGGAACAAGAAGATGTGGAAGAGTACCTAGTCATCTTATTGATTTGCCGAGCGGGAACAGATTTGACCAAGAGTTGATGTTGTAGTGCTTATAGCTCGGACCATCTGAAACACAATCGAAACTCTGGTTGGGAGAACAATTCTTGCCTTATCTGTATGATTGAGGAGTAAACCTATGTCACTGCTTTACTTAACACACCTTGCAAAAACAAGTAGTTTAATTGAACCACCTCGCAGCTGAGAATGTAGATCACTTTTGCTCTTGTGCGTGTCGCCGTAAGTGTGCTCAAACTTTTGAAGAAATTGCATGCGTATTGTATGCATAGGTGCAGATAATGCTCAAGAACGCTAATCGCCTTGCTTTTCTTGCTGGTATAAAACTCAAAGTATTACATGATCATATATATGTACAATTCTTTCACTCATCCAGTAGTGTGGGTATCCGTAATCATATCAACTCCATCCTTCGTATATGCTTTAGAAAAAGCTTCGCATAACCCTCTTGGGGGCGTCAGCCCAGACGAAGGGCTCCTTGGGCTCCTCCTCCTCCAGCCAGACAGCGCCGCTGGCCAGATCCATCTCAGCGGGACGGACAAACATCTGCCACTTGCGTGTGCAGATCTTGTAGCCGAGGTAGAGAAGGGCAACAGAGAAGAAGGCGAGGTAAGAGCTGAAGAAGGCCTCAGCGCTGGGAGAGGCGCCGGAGGCAGGGTAGAGAGCAGTGTAGAAAGAGGCGATGAGGGCGAGGATGTTGAGACTGAGACCGAGGTAAGATCCAGCAACGCCGAAGGGGGTCTTGTAGGGAATGAGGCCGAGGTTAACTCCCTGGGCCTTCATGCCGGCACGCATGCGGATGTGAGCGAGACAGATAGAGCCCCAGACGAAGAGGAAGCCAAGACCAGTGAGGGCCAGGAGCCAGCCGAAGATCTCCATACCCTGAGGAGCAGCGCCAATGTAGGCAAGGAGACCAAAGGCGATCTGGAGGATAACACAGTAGAGAGGGCGGCCCTTAGAGTCGATGTACTTGAAGAAGTTGGGAGCCATGTTGCGTTCAGCCATGGCCTGGATGGTTCGGGTAGAACCGAAAGTGCAGGAGTTGGCAACGGAGAGAACAGCAACAGTAATGACAGCGTTCATGATGCTAGGGAGGACCTTGATACCGGCATCCTGGATAGCAAGAACGAAGGGAGAGGCCTTGGTGTTGGCACCGCTGGCACCCATCAGGCGAGGGTCGTTGGCGGGGAGGATAAGACCGACGATAAACAGGTTAAGGATGTAGAAGATGGCAATTCGCCAGAAGACCTGCTTGCTAGCCATGGGGATAGACTTGCGGGGGTTGGCAGACTCAGCAGCAGCCAGACCGACCATCTCAGTACCACCGAAAGAGAAAGCTGCGACGACGAAGACAGCACAGAAACCCTTGAAGCTGGTGAAAGCACCAGGATCGCGCCAGTACTTAACACCGATGTAGCCCTGGTCGCCAACGCCACCGCAGTTGATGACAATACCGAGGATAATGAAACCAACACAGGCGCAGATCTTGATGATGGAGAGAACAAACTCGACTTCACCGTAACCTCGAACACCGAAGACCTGAATGCCCATGAGAACAACAAGGAAGACAGAGACCCAGACAGCCATGTTGATATCTTCTCGCCAGAATCTGATGGTGATAGAGGCGGCGATAAGTTCGAAAGGCAGGACAGTCAACCAAGCGAGAGCGTATTGCCAACCCATGGCGAAACCCCACGAAGGGTCGACGAAGCGGACGATGTATGTGAAGAAGGCACCGTTGACAGGGTAGAGGACAGCCATCTCAGCGAGGGCCAAGCATGTGCAGAGAAGCATGATACCGATGATGAGATAACCGATGAGGAGAGCAGCAGGGCCACCCTTCTGGAGGGCACCACCTGAACCGACGAAGAGACCAGCACCGATAGCGCCACCTAGACATGTTAGTTATGAGCTTTGGAGGTTGAGGTGAAGTGAAGTCATACCGATGGCAATCATCTGCATGTGTCGGTTCTTGAGATCTTGCTTGAGACCACCGTTCTTGACTTCGCCAGTCTCGACATCTCGTGTCTCAGAGACATCGAGAACGGCCTCCTTGCCGTAATCGGTGGGAGGAGTAGAAGCCATGGCTACTAGCTGTGGTGGTGGTGGTGGTGGTGGGAGGGGAGAGAAGTGTATGAGAGAGAGAGAGTGAGAGAGAGAGAAAGAGGAGTGAGTGTTGAGAGTGATGCTCTTGGTTCTTCTATCCTCGGAATGAGGGAGCAGGCCTCAGTATTTGTACTCATTTTGATCGACGATGTTTGCACAATATACCGAGACTATGGGACTGCTCTCCATACCGTTCTAGATTTGGTGGCGCTGGGGTCTGCTAGATGCGAGTTGGAGTTGGAGATGGCAAGGATGGGTCAAGGGGGGGTAGTCTAACGTTAGTCTTAATGTTAGCGTGTTGGTTGGACTTGGAGGAAATGGTGTGCAGAACGGGCAGTCTAACCTTTCTTGTTTTGCCCCAAAGAGTTTATCTTTGAGGCTAATTCTTGGCTCCAGGAGTCATTGGCTCTATAACTCCAAGCTACAGTATCATGGTGGGTACAGGATTTTCATGTCCACCTTGGAGCTTGGAGCACAGCAGCCTAAAGGTCACACTGCAGTAGTAGCCTGCCCCCCCTTATCTCGTTCCCGTCTTGGTACTGCTTGTCTTTTCCTCGGCCAGCGCGAGAGGGCTCCGAAGCCGAGAATCAGGTTGACCTTGGCCGGGCCGGTTCTGCTTGGCTCGTGCTGGTAAAGACTTGACAACGGTTGATACGGCGCTTAACTCGCCTGTCGTTTGACGTGAATCTAGATAGCGTATCTGATAGACGAGTCAGCATGGTCAGCAATCAATCAATTTGAGTTGTTTCTTACGTTTCCCTCCCTCAGGATAAGGTTATTCACCAATACTACCCAACATGTGTCAGATCCTTGTCATGCTGCAATCCTTTGGAATTAACTCGCATTGGGTCGTGTTGCATCGTATGTATGTATGTATCCTTGCCGATGCCTATTACATACGAGTCAACCTCTCGGCAGTTTTCCGTTGACTTTCATGGGCAGTTGACTACCTCTAAACGCGCTCCTAACGCGGAGTCAATGACCATTTCAACGCCACGTCTGTAACGCTTGTTCAGTGGCCCCGTAAGCACTTTCAGCTTCTTTCGGAAGGTCGACATCATTACCAATGGCCCTTGTCCCTCTTCGGAAGTCCCCTGGTGGTAGTAATCAACTGATGACTTGTGTCGTATTACAAGACACATACGGAGTACTGTCATTGTGAACCAAATGTTCGGGTCGAGCCCAGGGCTGCCCAGACCTTGAGATCTGCAGACAAGACTTGGTCTGGTGTGCTGCAGAACTTGGCGATGCGATGCCAATAGATCGCCAAGCACCTTGGAGTCTTCAGCAGCAGAGAATAAAGCAAAGCAAAACTTGGAGATGCCTTGGCTTGCTTTGGTTCTCCCCCACATGCTCCAGGGCACCCTCACGCGGCCACGTCTTGTTCGTAGAGGGTGGCCAAGCTCGAACTAGTCCTCAAGCTAGAAGACTTCCAGACTACCCTCCTCTTGCAGTCAACATGTCCCTGATTGGCCGTGGATGGCCCCCAGCTTCGGTGGTATCAATGAATCTGGAACTATACCCATGTCCCAACAGCCCTAGGATCAACTAGCAATTTGGAGACTCCTTCCCCTCTCCCGCTGGCTCTCAGCTGCTGACCGCCAGCCAGGAGAAAACGCTATCTCTTAGCTGGCCTTATCGAATTTTTCTCTCTCATACTATCGGTATCTCCTTGATTGGGCCGCCCATATCAATCGTGGCTTGAAAAATCTCCTCACGCCGGAATTTTCCCCTCATGAAAAGTTCAATTCAGCACAAGCTAGCAATGAGGCTCAACTTGCTCAAAAGTCTCGTTACGTTATGTCTTCTTGGCTTTCTGGGGAAAATGGATACGATGCAATGGTCGCCACGAGGCCTCCCCAGATCCAGACTCACAATCTGGGGATTCTCCAGGCTCTCAAGTCTAGACACTCAACATGTTGATTCCATTACGAAATCGTTTCCGCAGCAGCTTGATCCTGTTTCTGGGGTAGAGTTGAGCGAGTTTTGAGGGTAATCTCAGTCTCCCTGGTTCGCTCGGGGAGATCCATAACACTAACGACTCCAATTATTAGCCTCTCGACCCTAACTTGTTCAAGAAGGTGTTGACACATAAGATGCGGAGAAAATGCTCAATATTTCCACTGCGGAACCGTCAGCAGAATCTAGACCTCATGCTTCCCCACAACATGTTTGGCAGGGGTAAGCTTCAGTATCACAGGCTCCCCTCGTATGGAAATTCCACGTGAAGCTATCACATAACATTTGCTATCCTCAAATGACAATCGCTGCCTTTCCATCATCGCCAAGGAACGGTTTGCCCGGTGGCGCTCCTAGTATCCATGCTAACCCCAGGAAACGAGTCGTTCCACTAGCTGGGTTCTTGTGCCGGCTCTGGCCATTTCAATGCCCACAATGGTATGATTCAGAAGTCGACATTGGTTGGTTTGTTCTGTCTATTTCGTAATGTATTACCTCGAGATTGCCATGGGAGTGAACTCCACTCCGTCCATTTTCGGTGTTGGGAGCCATTCAACATTCCCTCTCTCATAACGCGAAAGCCATACAGCGTCCCTGTTAACAGCCTCCAATGCCTCCCGCACTTCAACGTTTCGTTCCAAAACGTCCGAGAGCAAGTCAAGAATGTCATCAAACATTTCTTCG